AAAAAAAACAAATCAGGTTAATTTAAATATTAAAGATAATTTATAAATGCAAGCGAATTCACAAATAGATACAACATTGACAAAAATATTTGTTGGAGGTAATTGCAAAAATTTCGAATTATATAAAATGTTATTTTTTCGTTAATTTTAAGGTTTACCATATCATACAACGGATGAAACATTACGAGCGTTTTTTTCAAAATTTGGTGATATTGAAGAAGCTGTTGTTATTACAGATAGAAATACAAAAAAATCACGTGGCTATGGATTTGTATGTTCAAAATTAAATATTGAATGTGTTATATTTTTTGTTTTTCGGTTCATAGGTAACAATGACACGAAAAGAAGAAGCAGAAGCAGCGGTTAAAGAACCAAATCCAATTATTGATGGACGTCGTGCTAATGTTAATTTAGCTTATTTAGGTGCAAAAAGTCGAGCTGCTACTATGCCATGTAGGTCAATTTATTTCATAATAGAAATTAGTATTTAACATGTTTTTTTTTGTAGACAATTATAATTTACTTCGTATGCCTGCCTATCAATCAGCAGCTGCTACTTATCCGTATGTATATAATTGTTGATTATTAAAAAATTAAATATGTATATTAATATTTTATCGTTTTATTCATGCAAAAATTTATAATAAGATATCTGATTTTGCATATAGATTTGATTTTTTTGAGAAGGAAGCCATGTTATTTTGTTTTTCAATTGTCTTTTCTTTATCATAAAGGCTTCTTGTCTTGTTCTATTTACCCTTGCCGTTTGATCGAATTGAAATAAAAATGAGACATAGTGCTACAGAAAAAAAAACATCTTCAATTGAAATAATAATGTGAGAGAGCATTTTCTGCCGATGGCTTTCAAACAAAAGTAACTAACATACAAAAGAAGACTGTGAGATGAGAAATAGGATAAATAATGACTACTTTCTTTAACCTGTTATATATGTATAGAGAGAGAGAGAAAAGAAAAGGAACAGGATAATGATGTACGACATACTTTTCTTTCTCTCTTTCTGTCTCTATAGGCGAATACAAAGTGCTGCCAATGGATGAACAGCGAAATGAATTAAAGGTGCTTGTGCGTATTGTTTTCTTTTATGCGTGCTATGACCGTTTTATTTTTGTATTTTGGTTTGGTCGTTTGGATTTTGTTTGCCGTGTGTACATAAATATCCTACAGAGTGTAACGATTTCTTGATTTTTTATAATCCATTATTATTCAGCACATTTAAAATTCAAGCTATTTTGCCCATATATATATATATATACCTATCTATATCTACCTATGTGTGTATTTTGTTTGTTTGTGTTTTGGCTCTCTTTTGTATTTTGGTTTGACTTTCGATCAATTTGCATAGAATTTTGAAAAAAAACAAACAACAACATATCAACAAAATTATTTATAATATTTTTTTTTCTCTGTATATTTAGTTCAAGCGTATTGTACTATCCATTAGCTCAACAATCGGCACTTCAACAACCAATTTTTTTAACATCAACAACAGGTGGAACGACAACAACATGGCCAACAAATTTATTTTCTCAATTTAATCTGGCTAATCTATCAGGTACAACAACATCAAATACTAATATACCAACAACATTGAATACTGTTGGTACATCATCATCACAACAAGCAATTTATGATGTTCAAACAGCTTTATTTGATTCATCAACAGCAACAGCTGGACAACAATTATATTGGCCAACTTATAATTAACATTTCGTTGTAATAAATCTCTTTTATTTCTTAAGAAAAAAAAAAACAACAAAACATTAAGACATACAGAAATAAATAAATAATATTAAGGACGCTGTCTAAATTGATCACCATCAAAGGGTAATTTAAATTTTTTTATTTCAACCATTAATTGATGAAGATTTGGGAAAGGTATATTTGCTGCTGCAGTTTTTATATTTGTATTACTTGATAATAAACGTTGAAAATCATGATAATCGGATAAAAATTGAGTAAAAACGTCTTTTAAAATTGGTTGACTTAGTTTAAGTGATGGAAATGAACGAATAACATCATTATGAATTAAATCAAATGTTTTTCTAAAATCACCAGTAAATAATTTACTAATTGTTGATAATTTATCTATTTAAAAAAAAGACATGAATAATTTGAATTATTTATAAAAAAATAAATCACTTACTTTCTAGTTGTCTCATATTGCCATCCGATATAGATTGATCACCATCTCGTACAAATGTGATAAGTGGAGAAAAATATGGAATTAAAACTTCTTTAACATATTCATTAATTCGATCACGAAGTAACTCTTTCACATCATGACATTCAGGTGAATCTTCACTTGTATATGCCTTTGAATGTAATTAAAGATTAGTATAAAAGTGCATGTTAAAATTGAGTTTGACAATAATAATACGGAAGAAGTAATATTTTATATAAATCTCGAAAGTGTGGGTAGCCATAGGTGGAAGATATAGATGTGTATTCATACGTCTGCCCACCGGTGGCGGATCTAGGATTTTTAGGAAAGAAGGGCGATTTCGATCAAAAATTGTATTATCGCTGGGGTACGGCAGTTCCAAAAAATGGAACAGAAAACCGAACCGGAACCGCTTTTTTCTCAATTCCACTGACCGGAACCGTGATTCAGGGTAATTATTGGAACCGCCGTACTCTAATTATCGCCCTTATCCGACATATTATCTACTGGTGAAAGATCGAAAAAAAACTTGAGATATGATACGATCTCACCTTCGCCACGGCCACCTACAGACTCATCTATCGCTCAGACTGCCACCATCACACCCGCCCTCAAGTCTATAAATGTTGTATTCGATACTGTTCATTATCCTACTGAATATTAAGCAAATTTTCTTACAGTTAAAACAGATAACATAAGATCATAATTATTAATGATAAATATTAACTGTTCTTTTCTCTGTGGAAATTCATTTGACATTCGAACAATTAAATTCAATATTTCAACTTGTAAACGTGTCATTAATGTTGAAATTTTTTCATTAGCAAATTCATCATTTAATCTTGTGACAGCTCCAGAAAATTCTGCATAACGTCGAACAATCTTCAAAAGAAAACAAAATTTTTCTCTCAAAACGTAAATAAAAAACAATTAATTCATCATACAAAATGCGGATTTAATTCAATTGAAGAAAATTTATGTGGTTCAACACGTTGTACACTATCGATATTAGCTTTCATAATAATTTCAAATCGGGATTCAAATAATTGAATTAATGCTGAATGAAATCTAAGATAAAAACAAGTCAATAATATTATCTATATATTTTAATTAAATTACTTGTTTAATATTGGTACATTTCGTTTATTAGCTATAACTTGATAACGATAAACTAAATGCATACAAAGTAAAATAGCTATTGGATCATATGAATCCGAAATGTAAGTTTTAACATTTTTTTGTATTAATTCAAATGTTTTATCGAATATTTCCATGAAAAATTCTGTTGCAGATCGATTTTGTAACATAAAAAAATCGCATAGAAATAAATATTCACGACAAGAATTATCTAATAATGCATATTGTTCACTACGAAATATATATTCATATGGATACTACAAAATATAAAATAACGATATTTTTAATACAAAAACAACAGATAACTTTTATTTTACTTTGACTTCAATTTTTTGTTGAGCATGTGGAACAACTATTGGAGCTTCAAGTTCTTGTTTAAGAACACAATCACGATTACCCAAACTGAAGACAGTTGCACGATGTTTTAAATTTGGCTTTAAGAAATAAATAAGTATATTAATTAAAAATAAAAGAGAGTGATGTTTAACTTACACGAGCACTTGTAGAAAAAAATGAAAGATTTGATCGAGGACGATCATCAGCTCCAAGCATATCGTCTTTATCGGGTTTTTCATCCAGCTATAAAACAAAAATTTCAAGATTCAAACGAAAAAATATACGTTCCTTCATACAGTGTTTTATCTAGCTTTTTTCGTCCGAGGGTGCGAAATTAATTGCCAGGAGGGCAAAAATCTTTCTTCTGAGGGGGCAAACGTAGAGTTTCAGACTCAAAAAGCGTAATTTTTCTGAATTCCGGGAGGGGGGAGCGCTGGGGCACCCTCCGAGAGGGCAAAAAGCCCTATGCCCCCCCCCCCCCCCGCTGAATAAACCACTGCCTTCATATTTGCTTGACCCTAAACTATGATCCTATTCAAAAGTCTCATCCGATATGTATTTTACGCTTGATTTCCTTCGTATCTAAAAGATTACTCAACTTTAATATGGCTACGAGAAATTATTTATAAATTGATGCTATCCAAACATTCAGTCATAAAATTTACTGCAAATATCAATTAGTTATGCAATACACAGTTTTTATTTCGACTTAATTACAATTTGTTAATGAAATATGAAAGTGCACTGATTATAAACACTTAAAATGTTATTACAATTCGTGAAAACAAAGTGTTATAATCCTTTATATCAACACCACTATTTTTCTCATATACATTTTTTCTCTACGTATGTTCTTTTGACCCCTATCAAAAGAATATCTACTTTTTCGTGTTCTATCCTACAGAGTGGAATCGAACCAAAAGACACAGGATTTAACCGGTAAAAACGTGAAGCTTACATAAAGCCAAAAATTGACTTATACTCAAATATCGTTTACGGATATATTTCTATGAATTTTGAATTTCATAATATTAATCGCTATTCAAGATGCCAATAAATTTTATTGTACTTACTTGAAGTTTAATAAGTTTACTTGAATAAGCTTTAAAATATGAACAATAGACTTTGCTTAGTGTATCTAAATATTCTCGTCGAATTTCATCGGCTATTTGTCTATCATTTGTTAATAAAAATTCAAAAAAAAAGCGATTTCTTAATAATGCATTTTGTGGTACTTCATAATTTGTCATTGGTTTACGAAATTGATAGATTTTTTGTAATATAAATTCACGAATTTTACTAATTGTCTATTAATAATAATCATAAAATTTAATTATAAATTAAATTTGTCTTACTTTTATACGTAGTTTTTCTAATACTTCTTGTACATCTTGACAAGCAATGGCATCATGAAATGATTGTGCTTTAACAAATTTTATCTTATGACTTAATTCATGAAGTTGTTCAAGAAATTGCCGTTCTGTTACTGGTACATCTGTAATAATTCTATAAAATATGATTTAAAACAACACTTTATGAATTTATTTGTTTGTATAAATACTGAATCATTGATTGTGGTACAACCATTTCATCAACAACTTGAGTTAGTTGTCCACGTACAAGTTCTCGATTCTTCTTTTTAATATTTAATTCAGCTGAATATTGTTGTAAATGACGAATTTCATTGCTTATATTAGCTAAATTATTTTGAAAATTTTTTAACATATGATCCATTGACTAGAACAAATGAATAAAATAAATAAAGAATTTTCTTATTTAAAATCATATTTACTTCGAGAATTTTATCGCACGATGATATCTGCATATGAAGATTTGCAATATTATTTGCTTCATTGATAACTTAAAGAAATATCATGAAAATAAGTATTCGAATCATCTAATTTAAGTTAGTTGGCAATAGAATATAGTTGCATTCTACTTCGGCAATTTTTATCGGAGTTACAGCTTGAAAACTTTGATCTCTACTTTCACCTGTAAACTAATCATGATGCTAGAAGATTTCTTTAATCTCTAATTAGTTTCTTAGCTTGTTACTGTTGATCGATTTTTCTCTAGAAATATCTGTATTGAATATGAATTAATCTTTTTTCCAATAATGGCTTTTGATTTACATTCCATGATCTTAGTAATCTTATAGGATTCTAATCAGAGTATATATGTTAAATAGAACTCTCATAGACGTATTGTTTTATCTAACGGGTGGGCGGCGCCCGCCTGACATTCCGCTTCGCACATCAGAGTCAGTAAGATGATATATATTAGATATATGAATACATACAATCTTGTACAAAAGCTTTTTCATGCACTTGAAGTTTTTCTTCTATCTGCTCGGAATATTGCGCTAAATCGATATCCTAAAAATATTTGTTTTTGTTATATAGAATTCTTGTGAAGGATATTTACTTGAGTAAGAGCTTCTTGAACGAATTGATCTTGTAAATTTTCTTCGATATTGGCTAAAAAATAGATCAGATAATTAAAAATACATATACAATTTTCTATTTCAAATCTAGTACCTTCCATATCATCCAAAGACCAGTCTTCATCAGCTGGTTTATCTAATTGAAGTTTTTGTAAAATATTTGCAGCCTAATTCATATACATATATTTATAAATATAGAGAATTAAATATTTACCTCGAGGTAAAGTTGTTCACTTTCTAAATCCCCTAGACCTGTATTATCTGTGTGGAATGTTTCTTCAGTGGCCATGACTAAAATATTTATCTATCTGAAAAACAAAAATGAACTAAATAAAATTTATTATCCAACAACAATTTTAAGAATTATTTCGGATATTTATTTGACAAAAAATATTCTTTATAATACGATGTATATCTCGATTACTATTTAGAAGATCTACAGTTAATCTGTTAAAGAAAGATCGTTATCTGCACATTTTCATATTAACTAGGGGAGTTACTTAATCTTTACTTTATAAAATAAAGATAAAGAAATAAAGTAAATCTTTATTCTTTATTATAAAGCAGTGGTGGATTTAGGGGAGCGATCGCCCGCCCTCTCCCCTCCCTTCTGCATTTTTTTTGATTTTTTACAGCAAAAATGAACGAAAAAATAGATTCACACTACTTCGATTGGACTCAACAAATAGCTTTTAGTCAAAATCGCTCCCGCCCCTCTCCAGGTATCGCACCCCCTCTTCCGAAATACTAGATTCGCCACTGTTATAAAGTAAAATAAAAATAAAGTGATACCCCTAATATTAACAATTTTATATATCTATTTAAACATAACAAGTAACAAAAATATATTTTTACATCTTTCCTAATTTATTAATCATTTCAATATATATATATTTCTATTTATCGAGCTTGTCGTTTTGATGAATCATTTGCACCATTCGATGTATTAGTTATATCAAAAGCTGAACGACATGTTGAACATGTTGATGCATTATCACAATAGATCGATAAACATACTGAACAAACATAACCTGTATCAATTAATTTATGATGACAAAAACATGCTGGACGATAATCAACAGCCACTTTTGTTGGTAATGCAAGCATTTTACGAACTTCTTTGTCAGTTAAATAAAGCCATAATAAATATTGTAATAGACCATTTGGATCAGGTACACGTAAATATATACCAGATGTTAAATCACCTATAGAAAACAAAAAATTCAAAATATACTGTATTCTGAATACTCGTTTTATCAAATAAACTTACAAGCTTGTTGTAAAAGACTAGAATCATTATTAAGAATACATCCATCAATAGGTACATTAATTTTTTCTGATGTAAAAACTGCATTCATAAAATTCATATATTGTTTTGATGTATCATTTGTTGTTTGTATAATTAATATTCTAAATGAATTTTTTTCTCCAGCTAATGTTTCACGTATAAGGCGATTTATATAACAAAGTGCTTGTGTTAATGCCATTGTTATCATTGAACCGGATGATGTATTCATCGGTGATAAATCTTCAATAAATTGTTTAAGATTATTTTCAACAACACGATCAACAACAAATAATTGTTCAAACATATTTGTTTTTGTTACGGTTGGAATAATTATTGATTCATTTGTTGGATCAGGATAAAGAAAATGTGTTTCATTATTTGAACAACCAATTATAATAAGACGATGATTGATATCAAATGCAATATATGCATTACAAAATTGTATGATTATATTAAGATATTGTTTAAAATTTAATGTTGTTGATGATGCTATTTTATCAGACCAATAATATGGATTAAGATCAATTATAACAACAAGATGTTTCACTGATGAAGACATTCTTGTTTTCTATAAGAAACAGATCTAAAATATATTTTTATATTTTGTAAAATAAGTTAATAGATTCTCTACAAGATTGTACGATAAATATCTATATTATTTTGATTCTCAATAAAGACATTAAAAGTTGATTATTGTTATCTATATATTAGACTTTATTATTTATAGAGTATTTGTCGACATCAGTAGCGGATCTAGGGTTTTTATGATGGGGGACGATTTACAGGGAATGGATGCGATTTCGATCGGAAACCCGCATTGTCGCCCCTCATTCAACATATCATCTGCTAACTTGCGGACCATTTTTGCTGGTGAAAATGGAGAAAAAAATTTGAGACAAATTGCGAGCTTACCACCTCTAAGTTAGTCACTGGTAGACATGCATCTTAACTAAATGATAAAAGTCTAATATTTTATGCTCATACTCTTGAACTGTCGTGCTAGCGCATGGAAGAGTATCTCTTATTAACAATCAGATATCAGTAGCGGATCTAGACTCTTGGAAAGTAGGGGCGATTTCGGCTAAAAACTATTTATTGAGTCCAATCAAAGTAGTGTGAACCTATTTTTGCTGTAGAAAATCAAAAAAATTTTCTAAAGAGGGGGGTGGATCAACCATTCCCTAAATCCGCCGCTGTCAGATATAGAATAATGCAATAACCTACTTGATTATATAAAAGATATAAGATAATTGAAACTCGCCACGTTTCAGATTCTAAAATCTAATCTAATAATATTTTACTATGTTTATCTTTTACTCAATATAGATAAGGACATTTGACTCCATTTAGATAAAAACAGCTCAAATAATTTGAATAGATATCTTCATATTCAATAGAGAATAAGAATAGGTAAACTTATTTTTAATTACGATATCTATATTAAAATCGACTTTATAAAGCTCTATTTAAACTAAAACCTATAGCTTCCTATGCTCTTTCACTAATACATATAAAGAATCATTTCTGTCTTTATGTTTTCATAATCTAAAAAAGAAATAAAGCAAAAAGAAAATATAAATTATCACTTTCTTGTTTATTTTATACACCGGTCTCACAATTACTCCTTCTTGATAGAAGCATAACTCATAGCATCAGACATTGTGTCAAAAAAAAATTATATATATATATATACGTATATACATAAAAATAAAATATTGATTGCTCTTGACAAAAACAAAAAAAAAATAAAATAAAAGATGATTCACTCGGGAAAAACAAAGTAATAAAATGACTTAGAAAATACACACACTATATACAGTTTAAAAAAAAAAAGGCAGGCAGAAAAATTATTGAAAATAGGATTACTTTTTCGCAGATTCATCAGAAACTTCATCATCATCATTATGAACAGAAGCCATTCGTGTTTGTTGACCAGTATAACGTCGTTTTTTAAATGGTAATTGCTCAATAAATTGTTTATTTGTGTCTACTTGTTGAACTGGTTTATCTTCTTCATTATCATGTCGTTTATTTTGTAAAATCGACATCGATTCATTTGTTTGAAGAATATTGCATATACGTGAAGGTATCGGTACAACTGGTGGTGGTGGAGGTTGAAATAAATTTGCTGATGTATAATGTGTAAATTGTAATGAGCGATGATCAATAGGTGTTAATATATGTAATGGTTGTGTTGAATGTTGGTTTGGGTTTGAAATTAAAAAAATATTTGCATTACCATTTAATGGTGTTAAATCATATGATGTACCAATTGGATTTGTAGCTGTTGTTATATAGGCTAAATTCGTTGAAGGAAGTATATATGTTGGTAATGAATGAGATTGTGGTAATTGAAATAAACCAGACAAATGTGAATATGATGTTAGAGGAAGACTCGTATTTGACGATGTTGGAATTTGTATTGGTATTGTTGTTTGACCAGTTGTATGGGAAGGAAAATGAGGAGAATGAGATAGAATTTGTAGACGTTGTGGTTGAGAATATTCATTAGATTGTGATCCACTTGAAGTAGAATTTAATTGAGAATATTCATTGAAACTTGTTGAACCCAAAGATGAATGAACTTCTAATAAAAGAAAAGCATAGCGATATAATACAATCTGGATTTTAAAGAACAGATATTAATCTATCTAGGGATTTAGTATTATCAAAAGATAGTGATAGACATACTATCACATAATATCCTTTAAAATAAACATGAATACCAGACAAAAAAATCTTAGTTGAGTCACTAGAGAAATGTTTCGTTTTTCTATTTTTACCTGAAGTTCTTGATGACGATGGAGTAGGAAAATGAACAGGTGATGTAGTACGATGTTGTTTTGTTCGTGGTGATCGTAATGGATATGGCGCATGAGTCGATGGTGAATGTACTCGTGGTCGTGTTGATGAATGTTGGGTGGTATTATGCACTGTTGGTGGTGGTGGAGGAGAAGCACTTTTTGTATTATTTTTTGATGATACAGTTTCACTTTCTGTTCGTGAACGTGTTTTCGGTTTATTTGTTTCTGTTCGTTCTTTTAATTTAGCTGTTTGTTGTCGAGTTTTAGGTTTTATTATTGGTTCAACAATATTTTCTTCTTCTTTCATCTCATTTGTCGATACAGTCTAAATTAACAAAAAAGAAATTTCTAAATAAAAATTATTTCAAATCTAAAAAAACTCATACTTGTGTTGATGATAATTCTCGATAATATCCTTCATCTAATTCAATTCTTCCAACACCATTTATTTGTTGTTTAGGATTATCGGAATGTTTTTCTGTTTTAGAACTATAATCAAAACAACCAAAAAATTGTATACATATACCATCAACAATCATTTTTCCCGAAACACGAATCTAAAATTATGAAATTTTACATCGTTTTTCTTTTTCTAAAATATTCTTTACTTTTGATTGATCGTTTTCATCAGGAATACTTTTAACTGAATCAAGACATAATGAATAACCAATATCACGAAATGTCTATATTGATAGATAATTTCAATGGGTTTTTTTTTATTATTGTATTCTAAATATTTACTTACAACAACTAAATGTTTATTTGAAAGATCTTCATCGAAACTTTTTGTTAAATCAGTTGAATCTTGATTTGTATTAAAATTATTTTCTCGAAATTCATTTCGAAGTGGAACATAGAATACCTTCAAAAAAAGAAAATGACGTAATAAATAATTAAATATATTTCGTAATTTTTTTCTATATGTATTTTATATTTACATCAGTTTCATTTAGAAGTTTACTTAATTCTTCATGATGTTCAAATGAATCTTGTTGAGTAGATAAAAGACCAATATCAATAGGCATTATGAAATATTTCAATAGAAAAATTCATATATGAATCAAAATGATTCGTTGTTTGCACGGTTGACGCGTTGCTGGGTGCGTGATGATGATTCCTTCTTCTAGTCTCATGACGTATTTCTGTCATTGGATTGCACGTGCCATTTTCCTTTCCTCGTGGACTTCGTTATCAACAACCAATCAAAAACTAATATAGAGGAAGTTAACTATATAACTATTGATGCTCTATGTATTAAAGAGATAATGATGTAAAACGAAAATAAAAGTTAAATTATAAATATGAACATAATAATTCAAGAATTGTTTTTTATAAAATTAAGTTTATCAAAAATTTGATAATTTTCTATGCTAACTATTGAACAAAAAAATATTATTTAATTTGGTTTTATTTTCAAGATGATAAATATCTTACTAAAACGTTCATTAGTACGATATTATTCGATATCTAAAAGATATTTTTCAACAAATACTAGTGATGTTTTTAAATTACAAGAACATGGATTTTTTTGTGATAATTTAGCTGAAGTCGAGTAAGTTTTTTACTTCGTAGTTAAGTACAAAAAAAAGCGATTTTATTTTTAGTGCGAATCTTAGAAAACTTGTTACATCAAAACAACAGACAATCTATTGTGGATTTGATCCAACAGCTAAATCATTACATATTGGTAATTTAGTTGGTAAATAACTTTCAAATTTATTGTTTAAATAAAATCGAATCCCGATGCTTTTTTGTTAAAAATAGGTTTAATTGGATTATTGCATTGGCAACGAGCTGGTCATCAACCTATTGCACTCGTAAGGATATTATGATTGACATAGTAACATTCAATGTTAAATCAAATGCATGATTGAACAGAGCAAAGACAACTAATTTCTATGTATGAAAATATTAATGAATGTTGTTTATTAATATAGCATGCATAGAACTAATTCTCTTAGTTTATTGTTAAAAATATCGATTATTTCGAAATTTTATTTTAATAGTATATATTTTGAATGATATTATTATAAAAAATAATTATAGGGTTGAGTTCAATTAATATTACTTTATAGTTAATTATGCTTATTGAAACATGCATAAAAATATTTCTTTATTTTTAATGTATAAAATTTTGATAAATGTATGACAATTGACGTTTAATAGTATCATTAAAACTAAAACAATTCATCAAAAATAGACGTATTAATTTCTATCTGTACAAAATTGATACAATATAAAATCTATAAGTATGTCAGATAATTATATTTATGATCTTATCATTCAATGTATATAACAAAAGGCTAAAAGAGTTATAGATGTTATCGATCAATTTTGCTGTCTCTAAAGAAATGTAGAATATGAATTTGTTTGCTGTATTCTTCGGTAGCAGATGTGATACTTAATTTTATATTTTATTTTGAAATCGAATATTCATTCGTCAAGATTAATCTGTTTTATCTAATATTTGTGTGTGTCTGTTGATTTTTTTGAATTTAGTTAGGCAGTGCCACAGTATTAATTGGTGATCCATCTGGCCGATCACAAGAACGTAAACAACATTTAACTAATGACGATATTGTATCTAATACAGAAAATATTGAACGTTTAATTCAATTAATATTTCAAAATCATGAGAAATATTTTTGGAAAGAACAACAAAAGAAATTATCACCATTAACGTATATAAAACAATTCTTTTCCCTTTTTTTCTAATTAATTTATATTTATTTATATAAAAAGGGTAGTGAATAATTTATCATTTTATGATAATATGAACACAATTACATTTGTGTCAACCTATGGTCCACATTTCCGAATGAATCCATTACTTTCACGTAAAGTGTATGTTAAAATCTTGCTTTTTATTATTATTATCTTATTTAATGAAATAATTTAGAATTAAAACACGTCTTGAAACATCTCATGATGGTTTGGGTTATAATGAATTTAGTTATCAACTTTATCAAGCTTATGATTGGTATTGTTTACTTAAAAAATATAATTGTCGATTTCAAGTAATTAAAATATTTTCATGAAATACACTTGATAGTCAGACAATGAACAGTATAATTTAGTTTATCTCGATTAAAAGATAAAGTCAATCATTTTACACTTATTGATAGATGAGTGAAAAATGAGCTTAGTAATTGTATGTTTACCCTGTAATGAAAGAGTATACTACAATCAGTATAGACATCTAATACATGTGAGAAATACAAAATATTGAAATTCTTTTAGCTCGGTGGTGTTGATCAAATCGGTAATATGCGAACAGGACATGACTTTATTTCACGTATGACAAATTTCGAAGAAGATACTTATGGTATGTTTTTTTCTATAATTTATTTTTAAATTCAATTTATTTTCTCATAGGTGTTACTGTACCATTAATAACAAATGAAAGTGGAGAAAAATTAGGTAAAAGTCTTGGAAATGCTTTATGGCTTGATGAAAATCTTTCGACACCATATGAATGTTATCAAGTAAATTTTAATCGATAATTATATTTGATTTTTTATTATATATTTTACTTATTTAGCATTTTCGAAATACACCCGATTCAAAAGTAGAAGAATATTTAAAAATATTTACATTTCTTCCATTAAATGAAATTCAACAACTTATGGAAACACATCGAGTAGATGATATATAAATGAATTTTTATTTAATTGAAACTTTTTTTTGTAATTTAGAATAAACCTCATGAATATGCTGCTCAAATTAAATTAGCTAAACAAATAACATTATTAGTGCACGGAGGTTAATATTTAACTTCAAATTGAAAATCTTTAGTTTTGTTTTGTCGCTAGAGCAAGGACTTGAATCTGCTATACGTAGTACACAAGCAATGTTTGCACAAAATATTGATTTACTTCATAATCTAACAGAAAAAGAAATCAATGGTCTATCTTATGGCGTTCCGACTATTCAAATGGAACTTAATCCTGGTAAATTGAAATCTAAAGAGGAACACGAACTAATTTTCTATTGTAGAATTAACATTACTCGATGTTTGTATGTCTGCGCAATGTTTTTCAAATAAATCTGTTGCACTCAAAGTGATCAATGATGGTGGTGTTTATGTTAATCATAAGAAGGTATCAAATCCTCAAGCAATTTTTGTTTTTGGTGTTCATATAATACCCAATATGATCACTGTATTGCGTGTTGGTAAGAGGAGGAGAAAAAAATAATAATTAATCTTCTTCTTCTTCTTTTTTTTGTATTTTATAGGAAAGAAAAATTTCTATATGATTCGATGGACAAATACGGATATAACATTGCGTTAAATAAGTTTAGTTAGTCGTTTTTTTTTCTAATGTTTCTCTAAGTAGGTTTTTTTTTTGTTATAAATTGATGATGTAAACTTTTGCATACCGATATGCGTGTGCGATGAAGCGCAAAAGGTTCATATATTTTGATCGATTGCATGTATGTATGTTCATTCGATAAGTAAACGAAGGAAGGAAGAGATCGAGAGAGAGAGTACAAGGGCGCTTAGTTCAAAATTTATAATACTTGATGGATCGAATAAATGACTTTACACAATATTACAGAAAAGGTCGGCAGATAACAATGAATAGCCATAGGAATTCGATGTTTTATGAGCCCAAAATGATGACTAATAATCATATCAGTAGAAGATTTAATGGTCCTACGCGAACTTACATGGTCAATGGAAATAAATTGATTATGCGGAACAGTTGTAAATATGATTCAACGACGAGCAGTGAACAATCGTAAGTAAAAAATATTATAGACAAAAAAATAAACGGAGTTTTACGAGAATTTATAATGGATTACTCAGTGCCATATTAAAAAATAAAAGAAGTATGAATATAATTTCAATACCTTGAAAATACGAATAGTTAGTAGTCGATGCAAGAAACTATTTTTACTAGAAAAAATCACTATCATGCTTAATTGTAGAAAAACAAAGATTATTGATGAGGCATACTCTAATGAATTTGTTTGAAAAATTTTATTAAAATTCAATATACGTGACAAATATTTATATGTGTGATGAAGAAGTCATTATTTGTAGAATTCGTGAGATTTATACATTAGCTCTTCTTATTAAGATGAAATGTACTGATTAACATGTAAGTACATCGTGAAAAGAATTTAAACTTATCTTAATAATCGATCTTATCGAGACGTATCCGTTATTCATGATCGGAAGGACATATACATATACATATATATAGATATAGATAAAAGTTATATCAACGACCTAAAGGACTTTATTTATATCACTAATCTGATTTGATAATAAGCACACAAATAGTTTAACTATGCTATGACAAAATTCGTTCTCATTCTTAATTAAATTTCTCTAAATTATCGACAACAGGATTTAGTAAAATGCTAAGAAATTTCAAAATCTACTAGTAATATATATGTAAAAATTACTCCAGTTGTTATATAGATGAATGCGTCACTTTTTTTCTAGATGCAGATTTATTTTTAAACTGAAGGAAAATCATTTCATACAATAAAGATAAGCGTTACATCCCTCATAAAATAGGGTGTGGTATAAAGATAATACTCCCACCGACACTCGAAAGACGTGAAGTCGGGGGTATGTTATTTTTTTTGCTAATATATAGGATGAAATCCATTTCACACTAATTATCTGTGAAAAATTTACTATTATTTGTGTATGTAAATATATAATTCTATTTGTTCACTGTTGAAATGTAATTACAGATCATTTGTACTGTATTTCAAATTATAAAAATTGAAGGTCAAAAATAAAATTTGATCTAAATAGTAGATTATTTTTCTATATTCGTTTTCAAAACTAATTACTTTCAAAAGGTTTTTATCTTATACATAATCAGAGAGAAAAAAAACGTCTTAGCTCTCGATTGATGATCACTAAATGTATTCATTTGTATTTAATTCTAACGTAGTTATTTAACACTTGTTATATTTCTAGTTTAACACGTAAATATGTTCGTTATTCAAGTTATCTTGACAATAATCAAGAGAATATTTATCCACAAAATAATCGTCGATTTCCACCAACATATTCATCATTTCGTATTGAACCAAAAATAACCTATGATGAAAAATGGTTATCAAATAAACAATATAATTCACGTGTTACTGCTTATGCTGAAAAACCTGTAGAAAAAATTATTAAAAAACCTATAGTAACATCTTCAAAACGTAAATCACCACAAACAAGTACATATCATGAATCAAATGGACAAGTTGTTCATGAACGAATTTATCCGCCAACAAAAACAACAAAATTATGTTTACGTGTTGCTGTTAATGGCGCATCGAAATCAATGCGTGGCGATTTACCATTATCAAATTTAAATTTAACTAATGGTGATTTTGGTGATGATGCAGGAATGTTTTTTGAAAATCGAGATAATTGTTTTGTTGGTAAGTTAGTTTTCGAAAGAAAAAGCAAATAATAAATTTTCTCTATAGGTTTAGCTGATGGTGCTGGTGGAAATCGATCACTTGGTATAAATCCAGCTGATTTTTCTCGAGCTATTCTTGCTGCATGTCGAAGTATTCTTCGTCAAACAAATGTACAAACAACTCAATTACCTCGACTTATTCTTTCAGCTATGCAACAAGTTGAAGCAAGCCATGTTCGAGGTGAAAGCTTTATTAATTCTATAATTAATAGAAAAAAGACATTATATATCTATCTATAGGTAGTAGTACACTATGTTTAGTAGCACTTGATAAACAAAAAAATTCATTATCAACACTTAATATTGGCGATAGTGGTTTTGCTATTTATCGTAATAATGAACTATATTGTCGATCAAAATCAACGATGAATTCAAATGGTAGTGGACCAAGACAGTTATTTGCTGTCAATGGTTCACTTGGTTTACCATGTTTTATTAATGAAAAGTTCGTAAAAAAAAGACTAACTTAAATCTCATGAACTTTATCTTTCAATTGATTCTCTATTTTTTAGCGAAGTCTTACGAGATTGTTCATTAGATTCGGTTGAAGTTGAAAAAGGTGATATTATTATTTTATCTTCTGATGGTTTATGGGATGTAATTAAATCTGATCATTTACAACAAATTGTAGAACGAAATACGAATAAAGTAATTTATTTTCTTCCCAAATTCTTTTTTTTTCAAATAAAAATTTTCTTTAGCATTTACAAGATTTAGCTGATGATCTTCTTAGTCAAGCTGCTGAAGGTAAAATTAGATTTCATGTCATTACAACAATACATTTATCTTATTTTAGGATATATTGCTAACGGACGAGATGATATTTTAGTTATTGTATGTAAAGTTGATTCAGTATAAAAGTTGTTAATATTAACTTTTATATTATACAAAAGAATACCCAAACAAAACTAATTAATTCTATTTAATAGACATTGTTTTGTTTATTGTTATGTAAACGTTTTTCTTTATATTTCGCATAATTTCTATATGGATTGTAATCAGTACAATCTAAAAGAAAAACGTTTTATTTAATTTAATAATAAATATTATTTACCACTATATAAAAGAAAAATATTGAATATTTATTCACTAAAATATAATTATTCAAGAATTTAAATCAAATTAATTTACCTTTCATAATCATGTTTTTTTCGATTATGATGAAATTTTTGTTCATATGGTGCTGGACTGACTTCATCAAGAATATGCTATTAGAGTCAATCATATTTTTAGAGAAGCATTATAACCGATAACAAAATGATCAAAAGGTCCACTCCGATGGGTTTTAAAAAAAGTTTAGACTGGTGAAACTGATTCGCTTAGATCTCCGAAATATAATAGAAGACATTTTGTTGTGAGGGAAAGTGTGAATATAAGTTTTTCACTTACATCGTATTTGTTCAAATTTGAAATGAGATTATTTTGCATCTAGAGAGAAAAATAAGAAGTTATGTTACTGATCAAATAAAGTAATCGATATTCATATATTCATTTTTTTTGAAAACACATTATCGGGTCAGTGAACGATGAGCACATGAGTGTTTAGGACCATAATATCGACGAAAACAAAGAAAGTCAAGGCAAATATGAATCGACACGAATACAGGAATCTATCGATGTCATCTTTTTCGGGCCAGCGCCCTCACTCACACTCAGATGCTTTTGTGTTTACGTATACTTGTGCTCATCGTTTCGGTTCCCCACATTATCACACGACTACTGCAAATGCGAAAAAAATAAAAGGTACTTCTAAACATTTCCGGCCTGATGATTATATTAATGCAGATTGACTTTAACAATCATACATTGAGAGATTCAAACCTAATGATTCTATGCAAATGAAAAGATTACCTCTTTTCCTAAAGAATTTGTTTCATAATTTGAACTACTTTTCTTTGCCATTTGAGCATTTGGAATTAATTTCGAATTATCAATTTGTTCTTGTTGCTTTGAATGAATATTTATTTTTGGATCTATTTCATTTATTTTTAATTTAGCGATATTATCTTGAGTAAATGCTACATTATCGTTATTATATTTTCTACTTCTTTTATTCTCTTTATCGAAATGTTTCTATAAATATAAATACTTTTAAAAAAATGAAAAGAATTTATTTATATTACGAATAAAATTTACAATTTCGGTTTTTTCCGCACTAACTTCAATTGGTGTCTTCATCTAATTATAAATTAGTTGATTTCTTATTGATTATTTATTTCGTTACCTTTCCTGCACGCGCTAAGAGACGAGTTTTAAACTGTTCCATACCACATACAATCTCTTTAATACATTCATCAGGTATCTATAATCGATATATAGTTATTCCATTTGACAAATTGATAGCAACGCTTACATCACCACTAGTTGCTCGAGATGAAATTATATTTTTATATTGATGAAAAACATCATTAATGCTTTGTTCATATGTTTTATCAATATCCCTTGTCTAAATATGGCAAATAAATAATTCTTATAAATAGATTTTCTTACAATTGATCGATAATCATAAAAAATCTTTTCAGATACATTTGCAATAAGTAAATCTTGATTTATATTTGGCTAAAAATATTGCTAATAAATAAAATACAACTATTCGAATATTATTTACTGAATAAGCTAGAGTTCGTTCAACCAATTCGAATACAATCGATCGCCATTTATCAATCAATAATACAAAAAACTAATTATATATAAAGAAAATCTTATTTTACTTCATCTAAATCTATTAAATCACGAATTTGTGTTAGAATTTTATCAGTTGCATCATATAGAAATTTATTGCCAAGATTTATATACATTTGATCCCATGATGTAGCAGCCTTAAAAGATTTATTTATTTGTAAAATTTCGTGTTGATAAATAAAGTTTTACTGCAAGAAATGGAATACTAAGAAGAAGAAAAACATATTTAAAAATTTAATATGACAGAGCTTATGAATAAATAAAATATGCGCAATAGAAGAAGTGCAAGGACTTGAAATACATGATCAAAGTGCGGGCAATATGACATTAAAGTTTATGTCTACAACTATTCTTAGCTAAGTATAATATTTTATTCAAGCGAATATAATAAATTAGACCATAATAATATTTCTTGTCAACTAATTATTCTTATTTCAACCTATCAGATATCATTTATTTTCCGTTGGCTTACTGAAAATACGGTCGTGTAATTTTACCAACTATAATTTACTGACAGACACATAGAAATAGTACTATAGGGCTTTTTCTGATTAAAATTAGGATTATAAAAATATACTGATTTACATACAATGAATATTTCATTAATTATAGTGCCAATTCTCTTGATACCTAACATCAGTTTTATATAGATTTATTATTGTTGGAATTCTAGCCACGGAACTTTCCTAATTTAGTTGGAATTAGAATTTCATTAATATATAGGTCAAATTCAATATTTCACGTATTGAAATACAAAATAATAGATACTTTAATTTTAACCTTCAAGTACTAAAATGCATTATTAATTGTTAAGAAACTATATGTAGAATATACATGACAGATGGTTTTTGTAATTTTAGTCTTATTCTGTCAAACAAGACGTTTTGCAATACTTGACAGTTAAGGTGGAAACATCTGCTAAAAGAAATATTTCCTTTTGTATGATATATATATATAATATAATCAATCAAAATCGAATTAAATACAAAATAGTCTGACTCTGAATTAGATGGGAATTGGTAGCTATTCTATAAAAATTATAATGATTTGAAGTTACAGATATTTTCGTATACAAGAAAAAAAGCAACAAGAATTATCCTGAGAATTTCTGTCATTAGATAATATTCTCAAGTGTATGTTCATGTACATCAGTATTGAATAGAAGATTTTTTTTTATTAATCATTTCGCACTAACTAATACTCAAGCTAAAGATTTTGATGTTTTTTCTGAACGCATAATTCACATGAATTTTTTATTTATACTCATTAGAAGTGTCTCGTATTATAAATTATTTTCAACGAGTAACTCGTCGTCAAATACAGTCTTCTTAGACATAATTACTGAAAGTAGGATTACTTATGAAAGAACATTTTCTTCCGTCTTTTAAAATAGTATAAATTACGATGTTGAGTTTCTCAGTGCATAAATTATTCCGTAAAGGATTCTTTAACATGATTATCAATATAAATTATATGCAGATAGATTTAATTAAATATGAATAAGATTAAACACATGATTTCCTAGACAAAAATAAAAGAATTTATTTATTTTTAATCGAATATTAGAAGAAACTATATTTATACTTCTATAAATTAATAATTGAATAGAAGAAATTTGGTCTATTTTTCCAGTTATTTATCGAGATATTTCGTACTATTAATAGTCACAAGGAATAAATATGAATTAATCAATAGAAATATTTCTATTACATATCTAGATGAATGTTATGATTACTATAGAAAAATAATTAAAAAACATATCTTTTATTTCTATTGATTAAGTAACAATATTCATGTAATAATAATTTATCATATTCTATACTAATTGATATTATTCATGTATTAAAAATAATTATATACTTTATTATAATACCCCATTGACTGGATGGTATTATAAATAGAATAAACTTAAGTGCTTTAACGGCTTATACCTTTTAAACTTCAGTTCATCTAGTTAAAACTATCTGGATTGAGTTATTCTTACCAATCATTTGGAATACACCAGACTTGATTATTATTTTCCATTAGTATGAATTTAAGAAAAAAAGAGAAGGCGCTTGTTAATGTATTTAGATAAAAAAAATGAATTTTATTTTATACAAATGAAACAAAACAAAGATTATCGACGAGAAGAATGTTTTAATTTTTGTTCAATTTCTTTCCAAACAAAACTTTTTTCTGAATTTTCATTATTGGAATTAACCTCAACAAATTGATTGATATATTTGGCCGGTTTACGTAAACTAGTTTTTCGTTTAGAATCTCGATTTGGTATATTACTATATTTACGACCATTTACAAAACCATTTGGTGATGCTAACATTAATGACCGATTAAAATCATTTGGAACACTTAAACCATCTAAACTATCATTTGTTTTTTTTCTTCGTAAATGAAACACTGTAAATGCACGTCGACGTTTTATTCGACATCGACGAAAGTAATATGTTAAATATAATTTAAGTGTTAAACGAAATTTTGGATTAATTGAATAAATATAAAAATTTGCACCATGATTTAATGTTAACATTAAATTTGATATACAAAATAATTTCATACGTATTTGAGCAAAAAAAAGTTGTTGTCTTGGATTCAATGAAGGAAGTATTAATAGAGATATAACTTCGAATAAATGTACACTACGACATACCATATAAACAGATAAAACACACACAATCATTAATGTTATACGAAAATATGTATCTTGTTTACGATCATTTGTAAATGCTGTATTCATTGTTTTTGTTGTTAATTGAACTTGTGCTGAACGTAATGCACGTATTAAAAATAACCATATAAGAAAACATATTAACCATGGAAAAAGTAAAGATATTATAACCATTGTTGGATAAAATAGACTGGAAAAATATTTTGTTTGTAATATTGGTGATAAATCAAGACCATAATATTTTATTGTACCTTTATTGTTACAGTAAATACGTATACTTGTATATAGAAATAATGGAAGGTTAATAAATATTGAAAGAAAAAGAATAAGAATAATTGCATAACGTGCTGTACGACGGTTACAATAATTTTTAGCAACTAATGGTTTCTAAAATAGAAAAATAAATATTTTCTTACGATTAAATTTACTAAGTACATTGAATGTGAATAGAACAGTTTTTTTAATGTAAAATTCTTTAATGTAAGTTCCGTTTTAAAGTTATTATTAAATCTAACTAAGCTATTGTTAAGGCTAACAAACAAAAAATATCGAACGTCATACGACTTATAAATGACGTCGTTTCATTATTATGGAGAAAAAGAAAATTTAATTTATGATCAAATAAATATTTAACAGTAATTGATGTCTGATTGTATATGAGCAACAGTAATATTATAGCAAATATTAGTGCAAATTATATTTTTAGATAAGCAATGAATAAATGTCATTAATAACATTTTCAGTATCTACTTAAAACAACCTGATGCTTAAGATGATACCAATTGCCTGATAGAGAAAAGAAAAGGATCGGTATGAGTATTCATATAAATAAAAATGAAAGAAAGAAATAAGTCTGTCAAAATAATAATTATAATTTTCCAAAATATTTTGACAGTATACGGACATGTAAGTATTATTATTCAACATCATATATGACTATGATTTATTTAAATTAGTATTTGTGCTGACTATTATTTAACACATATGATAAAATATCATTCGGATGTTCATTAATATTCTATTTGCCTCTCATGATTTATTTTTATGTCTTTCATCTTAGAGAATATACAATTCACTTAAGTTCAATAATTAAATGTATTCATCTATACTTCCAAACTATAATTGACTTCATCAATTGTCTTATAAGTTATTAATTTTTTTATGTTAGTAGGCGTTTACTTCATGTCACAGAATTTCATTATTATTTAAATAGATATATGAGAAGATATTAAGGTCAAATGTAATAGAAACTAGACAAAGAAATTTAATTACCTTAACAACAATTAATCGAAATGTAGTAATTAAAACAATGAGCCAATTACTAAATGTTGTAAATATATTTGCTAAGCCATTGAAAAGAGACCGAGCTATAATATGTGATGTTAAAAATGTTGATGAATGATTCATTTGTGGTAATATATAATAGAATAAAATATTATTTAGTGAAACAACTGTTGGTGGAACAAGGTCAGCCCATGCCAGTGTGACTAGAAGTGTTGTCATTGTTGAACGCATATGACGTCGTGTAAGAACAAATAAATTAATTAAATTACCAGCATTTGCAAAAAATGATAGAATAATACTGATAACACCTAATGTCCAAAATGCGAATGGTTTACGAAAAGGAGAGTTGGGAAGGAGACTTGGATCTATAATTCAAACAAAAAAGAAACTAGATTCAATCAAAAAAAAACAATTTACCGTCACTGCAATTCATTGATATTGTATTATAAGCATTAGATCTAAAATAATAGGATTTTAATTTAATTAATCAACTAGGTTAAAATAACTTTTATAGAAAAAAATATTGACAAAACGAATGTCAAATGTGATTATTCCTTATATGCACAGGAAAGAAAAATGAATACTTTTAGCTCTCTTCTAATTTGAGAAACTACCATCGAGTAATTTAATATAGAAGTGTATAGCAAGAATCTCATTTTGCCGGAAATTGATTTTACTATAAATCTAATATGAAATATAAGATAAGGAGCTTTTTTGTACTATAATAGAAATTCTATAAATAAATTAGTTTAGCACTTTTAATCCATATAATTGCTTGAATAAATTAAAATTGTTCGAGATACGTTATATTTAGTAGAAAGGAAGGATCGTACTGTTCGCAATTAAGAGTAGAAAGAACATCTTTGATTGTCGTTTACATAAGAGTATATTCTACTTTTTGCTCTCTCTTTTCTTACACATTTTTTTTCAAAAAAAAATTATAGTTGTCAGACTAATTAATCAAAGAAATTTTTTACATATTGATTTGACGAAAATAATAACTTTCTATAGATAAATTAATGACAAAATATTTCTGAGCTGAATATATGATTAACATGTGCATGTCATATTGTACGAAGAAGAAGAAAAAGAAGAATTTATTACCATCGAACAGATGTACGTTTTACATACTAAATATTTGATACATCGATCTTTCTACGTTATTGTTCTACTAAGAATATTCTCTCTCTCGTATTTTCTAAAAGTAAGGAAATACAATTATTATAGCGTTCGTTCGATTGACTACTAATCATTAGAGACCTTTCTATCGAAATGGGAAATTTTCAGTGACCTACATGTAAAAAAAAGAAGTGGAAAGCGAGCCATGTCTAGTCTTTAAATAATCGATTATAAGAACAAGCTGACGAAAATAACAACTCAACTAGACATTTCTTCTATAATTTTATCAATACTATAAAAATCAGTTTTTGTCTAGAGTACATTATTGATTATAGATGTTGTATTAAAACTTGTGAAGAACTCTCAAAAGATTTGAATATTATTATATATCTATTCTAATGCGAAAAAGTAATGATGTTTTCTACTATATGAAAAAAAATTGTTATTTTCGATGTACTTAGACTATTCAACGATAAATGTTACTTGAGATACAATTGATCGGTTATTACGATTGAATATATATATATGTTGGAAAAGAAATTCGCGTGCGACAAAAGAATGATAGTAAATAGAAAGAAATAATATATATTACTGTTCTCTGTTGTGTAGTATAAAATAAATTGTCTCTTCCCAAGGCGTTGGATACCGGCGTAAGAAGAAAAAAAAGAAGAAGAAGAGGAGAAGAAAAAAACGAGAAAATTGGTAGTTCGCTTTATAAAGCATTCAATATTGTTTTTGAATATCCTTTTCTTTGATAAATAACATCAAATGTAAAAGCAAAAGAATAATTGATTTCCGTTCAAAAATGTTACGATATTTTAGAGGTCAAATGCTATTAATTTCTTTATGTAATTCATTAAGATTTCTAAAAAAAATGAAGAAGGATTTATTTGTTTATTCATTCACAAAATAATCACATGACAATGAAAAAGAAGAAAACACAATCAAGACTATCTAACGCTGTTAGAATACTTAAACAGATTGATAAAAATTATATATGCAGGTCATTCTACTGTCAGATTCGATTATATAACTAAGAAATACTCATACAACCGTACAATTTAATCAGAAAAATAAATCACACTTCTACTTATTATGACATTTTTATATAACTTATGTCATAGTTAATTTATATAAAATAGGAAAATACAAAAAACAAAATGAAATACGACTCTTTTTCTCATTGTATTTATATATATTTTTTTATTATTATATGAATGGTATGTATGTGCATCTGATAATGGATTAACATCGATTAGATATAGATTTACGATCGATTACATATCGTTACGCTTAGTGAACTGTAAAATTTTTCTTCTATAGACTCTTATTAATCTAAGTCAAATAATCAGAATCTTGAGTGAAAAAAGAATTGCTAATGATATAAATTATCTACTTTCTAATATTAATATATAAAATGTATGAATAAAAGATAAATTTTTATGTCTGAATGTTCTGAAAGGGTTAAGGGTTATATGTTCTGATTTATAAGCACTGAAGTATACATTTTATACTAATTACATCAACTATTGAGACTTCTTTTAAAAAGAGACAATGACTTTTCTTTTCATATAAATTATATGAAACTTAAATATAGTTATCACGTCTATTCTTTATTGAAGTATTAACCTCCCACGTTTTACATGTGATAACAAAAAACATACTTAAAACGGATGTATATGTTGTAAGATGATTCTATCTGTTTCTATAGAATGATCTAAATACAAAAGACATTCATATGAATGTGACCCTGGAAAAATCATCCTCAGCAAAAAAAAAAAGAAAAAAATACGACAGATGGTATGAAGATAGAAAAAGAAAGGCAATCAGTTCCTGAAAAGATACTAGTGATAAAGTAACAATAATGATATATTTTTTATCCTAATCAACTTGTGACATGTTGTCACAAGTAATCCATTATATAAAGTTATTTACTGTGAAATTAGATGTCAACGATAGAAATATATATATATATATATATATTGTGAAAGTAATATAAGATTTATATGAAGAATATCAAGTCTTACAAATAAATAAAAAATAAAGAAAGCTGAATAAAAGTTTTATTTTAAGAACTTTTTGATTGAGCTGCAAAACTTTCTCGTCGTTCTCGAGCTGTTGTTTTTATTGATGATGTTAAATTTTTTCGTAGTATTACTGGTGATGTTATTTTTGACATTGGTGGTGTTTTTATATTATTATTATCTGAGATAATATTGACATCCGTAATTCGCACATGACGTGTTGCTGGAGAAGTTCGAGCTGGTAAATAGATTCGAACTGGATGTTCTTGTTTTTGAAATTGTTCATCAGAATCATCGAGAAATGGTGATAATGATGCTGGCGGAAGTTCCATAAATGATTCCGATAGTGGTATTTCAATAGGTGATGCTGATGGTGAAATCGGCGAAGGATTTTGTTGTTTAAATATTTTTTGATGAATACGAGCTAAACGTGGTGAACCAAGTAATTTTGGCGTTGAACATGGTGATAATTTCATTTCTTTATTTGTTTTCGGATCAATAGCTGATTTTCGTCGAGGTACAGATAAATGTTGTTGACGACGACGTTGTAACCATGAATTAAATTGAGTCATACACATACTTTTACTTCGTTGTAAAGTTTTTTTAAAATCAAAACGTGAACGTTTTGAACGTTTATTAAGCATTGTTGATGATGATGGTGATGCTGATAAACCAAATTCTTGTTCATTTGTTATTGGTGTTGAAAGTAGATCAATATATGATGATGTTTCTAATTTTGATATTGTTGTTTGTAATGGTATCATTGTATTCGATAGAAACGACTGAGGTATTTCACTTGTTGAAGTATATGAAAATTTACGTAGACAAGCACGTGTTAAAATTATTTTTGTACGTGGTCGATTTGATCGTTTTTCATTAGAATTTTCTTCATAGGAAAGATTTGTTCTATAATAAAAATAAATATATGTATATTGTTTTTTTCCTTATTCAATTCGTTCTTATCAATATAACAGCACATACTGACATTTGTTGAAATATGTCTTAAGCTAAATCTATCAATATTAATAATTCTATATTAGGTTATAAATGTTTTGTTTCATCTAGGGTCAAATATATCCTTCTTTAAACACCTACAATGTAATGTAGAACAGTCTATTTCATATATTTAAAGCCTTTAGGATATGTAATTAGGAAGTGTTTCCGGATGTTGAGTTAATAATCTGTGAGAATATTGCTTATGCAAAAAATAATGTATTCAATAGAAGACTCTCAACATATGGGACCCAACGGACATTTAAAACCAAATCATTTCCTAGAAATGTCTATAGGAAGAAGTACCCAACAAAAGAAATACAAAAACATATATTAATATTAAACGAACATACGATTTTCCTAGTAAACACATAAATATTTACACATACTGAAAAAGATCAAGTTGACTCGAATGAACATTTGTTATGGCAATAACTATTACCTAGATATTTATCTCCTGCTATTTATTTATAGAAGAATGTATAGTTTCATACTATCAATTTCGTTCGAGTGAATATATGATGATGGAAATAAATAAGAAAGTGGAGATAAGGGGTATGAAGATTCATGTGCTAATCGTTACTCTATCGAGTTTTTTGTCGACAATCAATTAACAAATATATTCTATACTATTTGGTTAAATTAATTTGGGTTAACTCAGTGCTTTTTTCCCCAGCAGCGTATTCTGTTGATATTATCAATAAGACTTGTATTTCATATTATTCACAGATAACTACTACACAACGATCAGAAAAAAATAAGAATTCAAAAGAATGAACGAGTGATATTTTTATTCTTCTCATAAAGAATCAATATAGTTTTTAACTGTTTAGCTTGTATAAAATAGCTATTCAAATATTTCTATCTAAAGCTGTTTTGCAGCTTTGTATAGAATAACCTTAACATTAAATAAATTGATAATGAACAATGTTAAAAACAAAATATAAATAAATGCGGAAACTTCGGATTTTATCCGAGAGTTACGTGTACTGCAAAAAGTGTATAGGAAAATATCAGTATTTTTGCAATAACTCGGGAATGGCTCGTCCAATTAGGCTCAACTTCGAACTCGGTCGAGATCTTTATAAACCTAAACTGTGTAGAAAATTTCAGCAAAATCTGACTCTCCTTTCGCAAGGTATCGTGTAAATGGCCGGCTGAACACACTGATCGATTCTAGTAATGTGCTCACTTTTTGAGTACACTAGAAAGAGGGCCTGAGGTGCAGTTCCTTAGTGCACTCAAGGATGAATTTTCTTAGACAGAGTGATCAAAATCAATCTGTCGTGAACTTCACTTTTCAAGTACATGAAAATAACGTTGACTCTACGGAGAACAAACGAATATTACACAGATACACTATTAAGGTATATGGGTTTTTCATGGTTTTTTTATAAATGTGATACTGAAGACATATCGAACACAGCATATCTACCCCCTATTATTTTACATCATTTTATAGATCTTGATGAATTCTATCTACTCTAAAAAAAGTTTTATTAATAATATGAAAAACAAACAAATATTGTACTGACACATTGTCAAGATATATGAGTTTTCTATAGTTTACCGACCCTGTCATATAGGGGTAATCTTGTGAGCAACCCATTTAGCTCTATACTTCTCTATTGAATGGTATGTAACACACGGGGTTTCATACGACTCTGATAGAAAAGTATCTTACGAGAACGGCACTATATTATTTTTTCCCAAAAAAAAAAATATAGAAAAATCATAGGGAAATATCAGTATCTTTGCAATAACTCAGGAATGGCTCGACCAATTAGGCTCATCTTCGAATTCGACTGAGATCTTGATAAAATTGAACTGTGCACAAAAATTCAGCTCAATCCGACTATTCTTTCAAACGTTATCGTGTATACGGACGGCCACACTAACCAATTCTAGAGTGCACTCACTTTTTGAGTACACAAAAAATATATCAATATTTAAATAACAAAATCGAGTTTTATAAATATAACTCATATTTAATATGATATAATTAAATTTTTCGTTATAACTTACTTTGAATTTCTGAATATTTGCGAACCTTTAATTGTATCTTGTTCAAAACGTTGTCGTTCATCTTTAAATTGTTTTAATTGATTAAAAAAATTTTTATTAAATATAATAGCTCGTTTTGTTGTTTTATTCGATGTTCCATCTAATATATCGGAATATGCTGCACTTTGTACAGCTAATACCCATGATGCTGGCATATTCATTAATGATTGTAATGAATGACAACGTTGTGGTAAATCTATTTGGCTATGTTGATCTAATAAATCTTGATCAAGTTGTTCAACACTTGTCATTGAACGATGTTTAAATATATTTTTTTGATTATTTGTAGAAAAAATAATTGCTTTTAATGTTTTTAAATCTGTTTCAAGTTGTTTTAATTCTTGCATTTTTCTTTCTAAATATTCATTATAATGACGAAGTGCAATTTCTTCCGACATTATTTCACGCCATTGATGAAGTATAAGTGATCGTTGATTTGGTGATAGAATAGGACTAAGTATTAAATTATTTGGTTCAATTTCAGCATTTGATATTTCTATTGATGGTATTAATGAATCATTCGGTGCTTCATTAATTATTGATATAAGTGATGTTTTTCGAGAATTATTATTTAATTCATTTTTATTTACAATAGATTGTCGACGATAATTTACTAGGAAATTACTTTTTTGCATTGTTTCCCATTCACGCATTTTTTGTTGATAAGATTTTGTCATGGCTGAAGCTAATTTTGTTGAAAGTATTGCATGATTTAATCCAGATCCTAATTATATTAATTAAAATATACTATAGATTCTTTTTCTCTCTTTCACGAAAATTAATATAACATACCAATATCATCAAATGCAAAACTATGTGTATTACCTATTGGATGTAATAATGAATTTTGATCACTAAATTGCTTTTTAACTGTCGTTAGTTTTGAATATATTTTATTTCGATAATGAGCTGAAAAAAAGAAAAGAATAGAATTTATTTATTTACACAAATGACCTTTCTAAAAGTACATATTAGTTAATTATTATTATGAGTTAGTACAAAAGATATTTCATTATGTAAACAGTAACAATGATAATGGAGATTGAATCGTAACTAATCGACTTGTTTATTTATGTTGACTATACACTGTCTGTATACAGAAATATCCATACTAACAGAAGTAGAAATTAGAGTAGTACTGTAAATGATATTTGCTGATTTTACAGACAAACATATTAGCAAATACTAGATTTTATGTTAACATATGAAAGATATAAAAATAGTTAATAAACATATTGATACATTTAGTACTAAGGAAAACCCTCGAAATATGATGATTATTTTAACAGTCGAATAATCAATACATGAAGATTTTGATCAAAAATCTAGAAGAAAAAATTGTCTCTATTCTGTAATACTTCTTCTCTCTCTTAGTAATTGACGTAATTTTCGGAAAATTATAGTAAATGATCTTATTTAAATATAATATACCAATTTTCGATTGTTTGCGTGTAAATGAAGTATCATCATCAATTATGCCTGAACTAATAGGTAAATAAGATGTTGATGTTGTTTTTAGTCCGCTATGTAAAGAATTTTCTGTATAATTTCGATAATTTTTTCGTTCAGAATGTATATTTTTAAATTCAGCATATGCATCTTCATCCGTATCATCATTATTAAGATCTCGTCGACTACTATTTGTTGTTCGAATTTTTTTTTTCTTTTTTTTATGATGTTTAGTATCTTGTAAACGATCATCATCACTTTCAAGTGATATACTAATTGCTGGAATTATTCTTTCTATATTATTTAATGCAGGAGTTGTTGGTGAACGTTTTCTTCGTCGACGTGAAAAACTTAATGCATGTCGTAATTTATTCCACTTTGGCAAGTTAGATGAACCTTAATATAAAAAAATAGATTTATCAATACGAGAGATTATGCGATTTTTCATTTACTTAAATCCGATTGATCATTATCAACATGTAACATTGACGATGAATCATCGTGACTAATAATAAAATCTACACCTTTGAAAAACAAAGAAGGTTATAGTATTAGAAACATTATTTGATTGAGTACAGAACTTCTGTTATTGTCAATCATAAAAATATGTAGTCTGACCTCTTGACATCAAAGAGTACATCGGGACATTCTTCTAGGTTTCGTATACAAAAATAATTGAATTCTTTTTGTATAACACATTTTTCGATATATAAAAATAAAAATTTGAATATACCTAGTCGTTCTCTACTTGTCATTGATAAAGTAGGTGAATCATGTTTTTTAATTTTTAATGAATTTGATGGTGATATTGTAAAACTTTTATCTTCATCATATGTACCTTCTCCAATATGAATTGATCTTGTTGAACGAACATGTTTCTTTTCTTTATGTCTCATTAATTTCGTATTTTGTTCAGTTTTTAATAGAAATTTTTCAACATGATTAACTAATTCCATATGTGCACGTAAACGATTATTTTCAGCTTTTAATGTATGTATTTGTTCAATAAGATGACATAAATTATTAAGTACAGATAAACCAGTTAATGTATTATAACCATTATTGTTATTTGATATAGATAATGGTGTTAATGAAATTGTTTTTTCTTGATTAAGACCCATATCTTTTGCAAATTTAAGAAATTCATTCGGTGTTGTTGTCATTTTTAATTAAAAATCTATCATCAGTTTTTGTCTTTTCTAAATGAATAATAATAAAGAATATATTTTCATGCTACCCAACAATTTTCTTTCTACACATGCGTATGTCTTCAACAAGCGAAGATGATGTTTAATCGTTCTTTTTTTCTGTTCCGGATTATTACTGTTCTATAGATACTTAATGTAACTACCTCTTGCCCTATTTTTTCTTCTTCTTCTTCTTCTTCTTCTTGTGCCGTCCTCTATATATCTGGCTTTTTAATAAGATCTCTCTTAGTCTATTATCTTTTTTTGGATATTGGAAAAAATTAATCAGAAAAACAAGATATTTGTTCTATTCTAAGTCAAGATGGGTAATCTCTATCACGTAAGAGATGAAAGATTGTTGATATTTTCTAAGCAAAAACAAACCAATATTTATGTCAAGTTATATTTTTCTTTATAAATGATGAGTGATGAAGAACAAGGTTACAATTAGATATAAAATATTAACGAGAATAATAAATAAATATTATTACTTAGATTTACTAGTATCAATATTATACTTCCTGTCAATTTCGTTTTTTTTATTATTGATCAAGATCAATTGACATAAGTTAATAAAAGGTAAATTTAGTTTGTTTTTTTTTTAACTAAAGAAATTTTGATCAACAAAGCAAACTGTAATCGACTAGTCAAATAAACAATAACATTGACAAAGATGAAAACGAGTGTGCAGAAGCAATTACCAAGTGTTTTGATAACGTCAAACAATTCTTTCTCTTAGACAAGTCAACTGAGAATGAGAGACATGTCAGTCGTACTATTAGATTATCCTTCTATTGTTATTCCTGCTTTTTTTTGTCTGATGTTCTGTTGAATAACAACGTACTAGTCTATCAGTCTTCTCTTTTCTATGGATTAGTTTGTTTTATAAGATAATAAACATATTCATACTGATATTTATATATGTTGTTCACTTTGAGGGTTTTTTTCTTCTCTCTCTTTTATTTATATTATGTTAATAACATGTTTATAATCATATTTCATGTTTATGTTCATATCTTGTTTTATCCACTAAACAGTTAGGGAAAAAGACGATTTATTTATATACTCATATATATGTATATTCTTTTTCCCGAAATAAAAACGTAGGAGGAATACTTAATTTATTCTCCTTCTTTTTTTTCTGCTCTATTTTGCATGTATGGACATATTTATTATGTGTATATACATATATATATGTCGGCTCTGCTTTTTGACTCTATTAGCGTACATAAAGCAAAGACCTTTATATATGCATATTCTACTTTTCTAATTATAACCATGAACATGAGTAATATACAATAAACATCCATTTATTATCCAGAACTCTG